CATCACTGCCACTTCTCCTTTTTTTCTTTTTGGCTCCTTCCTCTCCATCCTCTCCACCTCTTTTGCTGGTTTTTCCAAACCATTCCATAGCCTTAATCCATATTTCTTCTGCTGCCTTTTTATCAGCTTCAGCTTTCTTCTTTCCTTCTTAATCACTGTCAATAGCAGCATCTTCTTTTCCAATAAGATCTTCAATGATCTCATCAAGTTCTCCAACCTCAGCATCTATTCCAGTTGCTTGGATTTCTTCTGACATCCTTCTTTTGTACTTTGTGCGTAACAGTGTCCAACGATCACGACATGACCGTTTTGCAACTTTAAACTTTGGGTAATCCATTGCATTTAAATTACCAGCAATAGAATACCATTATTGACCCCTTTCTGGAGTGCCCTTCTTGTACTGAAAAAGATCACTGATTGTCATTTCACCCAGGAGAGCCTTGTCATGCTGCTTTGTCCATTCCATCACTGTTCTAGGTAACATTAAGACAAAAAAAGATTGTTTTGTTTATTTGTGATTGATAGCTGCACATGTAACAGAGAACAGAAACAGGCTAATTTAAAATTCTGGTGCAATTGTCTGGTTGTCCACGAAACATACAAAGTTTACCTTACAACAATTATTATAAAAGTTCTAACACTAGACATGAAAAGCTATTTTTCAGTTGAACGAGGACAAGAATAAACCCATAGCAACCATTTATGGCTAGATCATTTGCATATTTTTGTGTTGTAAGAATTAAAATTCAGCATTCCTGCATGCGTAATTAGCAATGAATTTTAGAAACTACAGCATCTCCAGAATTTCGTTAGATTGAAAAATCTTTCAAACTTTTGAATGGAGAAAGTTCCAACAGATGCAGTAATATCGAATTCTTAATTCTTAATTTGACACAAATTCGCTGTTTATTACGCATGCATGAATACTGAATTTCGAAATCTGACTAACGAAAGCTAGAAAGTTCAATATATAAATAATCGATCCATTCATGGAGTCTTGGGCTGGTTCAAAACATTTGTCATAAAAAGACAATTCAATATCCAGCTGTGTACTTTGGAAAGCTCCCTCAAATCATAAATGTCCGTTTAAAGAAAAGTTCAGTTTATTGGAGGCACTGATTTCTCAAGAAAATATAACTCGCTTTCCAAAGGTATTTTAAAAATGACCTTTTCACTGAATTGCATTAAAATAACATTCTCGTGAAATTAGCGAGACCAAACAGTTGTAACATGTTTACATATTTATACTTATAGCTAAACCTTTCAGTATCAGTAGAGAAGTGAACCATCGCAATTCGCTGTAAACTACTGTTTTCCCGCTGAAAATAAATAGAAATGGTCAAAGAAATGAGTTCAAAGTACACCCTGGCTGAATATTTTTGTACAAATCTACAGACAGATTCAATTGTTATTCTCACTTACGATTTTGTGCTTGTTGAGTTGGCCATTATATGCGTTTAGCTAAAAAGAAGAGTAACTCACAAGTTAGGACGAATTTAAGGCAAGAAAGAACAGGTAAATCGAGCTAAAAAGTCACCTGTATATTAACAATGAAATCAAAAGGAAGATTTCGAAAAATAGCATATGTCTGATTTGTGGCCAATTTGAAGACACCTCTGGCAAAATAACGCAATCAGTTGGTAACGGGGTTCAGCGATCAGAGTGGTAGCGGTCGTCGATCATGGCGGGAGCAAAATTTTCCAATGCGATCAAATTTCTTGTCTTAGCATTGTTTTCCACCTTAAACTTTATAATTTTGTTATATCATCTTCCAAATGCGTCAAATCTACCTACTGGTCTGCTTTAGTAAGCTTAACTAAACCAATATCCATAGGTTTCGAGGCCTACCGAGGCTGTCCACGAATTAGCCAAGCAGGCGCCATCTTGGATTCAAATTCTGAACTTGGCTCTCTTCGTCAACTGCTACTCAGTTTACTCTTACTAGCTGGTGATATTATTTCAAATCCAGGGCCTCAATGGAAGTTTCCTTGTGGGTTTTGCTCTAAACCAATTATGCGAAATCAACGAGGCATTCAGTGTGACAACTGTGATCGATGGTTTCATACTTCCTGCTGTACTATTGGCGACCAAACTTATGAAACCCTTGGAACCTCATCATGTGTATAGATATGCTGCGACTTTTACACTGCTAACTACTCATCTGTACCATGTAATTCTTTGCTGGACTCATTTAATTTACCTGGATTTTATTCTCCACTTGCAGCTCAGGCTGTAAACCACTCTACATACTAACGAGCCAAAAGATCAAGCTAACAAACAAAGAAAATATCCTTGTGGTATTTGTAACAGATCAGTGTCATGGAAAAAAAAGGCATTAGATGTGAAAACCCTAACTGTCAACAATGGTACCATATAGGTTCCCAAAATATGTGCTCTGTTGAACATGAGAAAGAACTGAATAAAGGCACATGGATATGCTTGAAATGCGCTTTGCCTAATTACAGTACCACATTGTTTGACCTTCATTCACCACCAACAAACTCTGCTGATTCTTTGCTAATTCAACTCGAGATGGAGATGACTGTAACATTCCCTTGCTCTCTCTCGGTTCTCCACTGGCAAGCTCGTCCCCGACTCAACTACATCATAAACTGCAAACAATAGCTCCCAATGGTAAACCAACCAGGATACTTAACATAAATTTTCAATCTGTCCTTAAGAACCGTGAAGCATTCGCTTCAATTCTAAGCAGTATTGGCTACGACATAGTTACCGGGACTGAATCATGGCTAACAAATAATATAAAGGATAATGAGATCTTTCCACCTGGCTATACGATATATCGCATAGACATAGAAACGGGAAAGAGAGGAGGTGGAGTATTTATAGCTATGAACAAAGATCTCGTTAGTACAAGATACCAATCTGCAGAAACGCAGTGTGAAATCGTATGGGCAAAGATTGAAATAAAATCATGTAAGCCTTTGCTTATTGGATCATATTATCGACCACATGCATCCGATGCTGAGAGCCTGGCCCAACTGGATGAGTCCCTCACCAGACTTCCAAAGAACTGTTATATTTGGCTAGCTGGAGACATGAACCTACCGGGCATTGAATGGCCTTCTACTAGTATTAAACCAAACTGCACTTCTCCAGCTCAGCAGAATTTATTTATTGACACATTGGCCGACCTTGGAATTTCGCAGATTGTTGATCAACCAATGAGAGGCGAGAACACACTAGACCTCTTAGCTGTTAACAACCTCACACTTGTGAACAGAACTGAGATACTTCCAGGGATCTCAGATCATGATGGTACGGTCAGGCTAAGGTCAGAGAAAGATTCCCCTCTATAAGAAAGCTGATTGGGAAGGAATTGCTAGCTAAGTTAACATCACAAATAAATATATTCAAGAGCATACTTACTCTGAAAGTTCTGATAGTCTATGGAATGAGTTCAAATCTGATCCGCATGCAGCTATTGAGAAACACGTACCGCACAAATGCTGTTCCTCACGTAATAGGCCCCCATGGATTTCTGCCAAGATACGTAAACTTCTAAGGTCAAGAGATAGGTTATACCGCAAGAACAAACAAGATAGGAAAAACAACAAGGAGAGTATTAAGAACAAATTACGTAGTCTAAAACACAAGATAAGAAGGGAAACTAGAGCTGCCTATTGGAATTATGTGGAAACCAACATCCTCCCTGAAACATCATATGAACCAAATAGAGGTAATAAAAAACTGTGATCCTTCATCAAAACACTCAATCGGCGTAACCTCACTGAAATACAAAGGAACGTTATGGGACAAACCCAAGGACAAAGCCGAAATCTTAAATGAGCAATTTAGGTCAGTTTTCTCAGATCCACCTGATGAACTGGAACCTCCTGTCACCGAAACAGATAGGCCTTGCCCTGATATTGATGAACTACGTATTACATCAGATGGTGTACAAAAACTACTCGAAAACCTCAATCCAAATAAATCTATGGGTCCCGATCAAATTTATCCGAGGGTGTTGAAACAGCCTGCCACAGCTGGTGCCCCGATACTTGCAGTCATCTTTAACAAATCCCTACACTCTGGTGAGGTGCCCGAAGACTAGAGGAAGGCAAATGTTGCTCCTATCTTTCAGAAAAGTGAACGTTACAATGCAGAAAATTATCGTCCCATTTCACATACTTGTATTGCATTAAAGATAATGGAGCACATAGTAACAAAACATATAGTGAAACACCTGGAATGTAACAACATACTATACATGCTACAGCATGGATTGAGAGCAAAGCGCTTAACCGAAACCCAGCTTCTTACATTTGTCCAGGATCTCCACAAAAACCTCCGTGACATAAGCAAACATATGTTATGGTTATGGACTTTGCGAAGGCCTTTGGTAAGGTACCCCATAAGTAGTTAATACGCAAACTCAGAGAATATGGTATCAATAGTTCCATCAATCAATGGATAGAGAGTTTCTTGCATCGGCGACAACAAAGAATGGTATGCAAAGGGGAAATGTCCTCATGGGTTCCAGTAACAAGCGGCGTACCTCAAGGATCTGTGATTGGACCTATACTTTTTTTAGTATATATAAAGGATCTCCCAGCTAAATTACAGTCCAAAGTTCGACTAGTTGCAGACGACACTATAGTCTTAAGGAGAGCTTGTTGTTTGGTTATGATACCGTTGGCATTATATCACAAACAGTGAGAAGGCAGTGGAAAGACACAAAAGCTCTGTAAAATAGTGTGATAATGAAATGATTATATAATATTGTCTTATACTAATAAAGTAGTAGAGAATGTTAAAAATAGATTGATATCCTTTGGTTATGACAAAGAACAAGTAAATAGCATGTGCTTTACATTTGATTGTTACTTTAGTGAATGGTTGGATAAAGACCGTACTTTGAAAAGGCTTTACTATGTTCAACAATAAGTTATACTTATTTGGAGATTACAATCAATGTGAACCTGTTGAAACTGGTGGTCATGTGCACTACAATTATCAGTATTCTATACTATCAATGAGATGTTGAGCAAAACAAACACACTAAGATACATTGAAAATAATACTAGGTTGATACAAAGACCAATAGTACGTTAAGAGTATTCTTCGATACTGGTAGGAATATCCACTTACTTTGAACCAGAGGGTAAGTTCAATAAAAATATTTGCTATTCTACCAGGATAAGGGTTAATACCGAATAAGACCGATCTGTGGAGAACAAGTAATATGAAACCATTGAATTCAAGTATGATGGTGAAACTGTGAAATATAAAGTATGTGCTAGTACTCCAATCATTGCAACACAAAATATTAAAGACAAAAATATATTCAATACCATGGAATTTATTTTTTGAAGA